AGGGGATTACACGCCGAGCCCGCGTCAAGGCGGACGTTTCATTAATCAATGCTTTGTACTTTATAATTTTATTAATAAAATACCTTTTGCTTTAAACACATATCTACGCACGTGTGGTAATCTAAATGGATCTTATGGAGTAGTCGACGATGCTTCGGACGGCACGTTTTTGTTTTACTATTTAAATATAATTGTTCGTTCTTGATAAAAGACTTATTTATTAATGACGTCGATTATTTTCATATGAAAGGCAATAAAATATTTAAAAGTACATTCACTTCTATTTTCTAATCGAAACAAGTTATTTGGACTTCTTTGAATGACCCGATATATATATTGCATTTATTAGCTTCAGATGATGATAGTTCGATCTTATGTACAAATAAATGTTGTATTGTAACTTTTTACAAAAGATGTAATCAAACGCGAATAAATTATACAATTATTTACAAATCGGTCGGATATACTTAATCTTAAGTTCTCTCATGCTTCTATTCCATAGGTTTCGCGTTATGAATGCATGGGAGTGGAGGCTGTTTCGAGACGTATCATGCTCCTCTGAGCAGTTCCCTGATTTTTCTGTCTCCATTCGAGCCACCGTAACAGTTCCGCGCTTTGCGTTCTGTCATTAATGTCTGTACGGGCCTCTAATTGTTGATAATACGCTTCACGTAATAATCGAAATGTCTGCACGTTTTTGTATGGTAGCTGAGTCATAGGATCCAGATACTTCGCAGGCAACCTACACAATTTTCAATTTTTAATTAATTTAATCTTTTTTAATTAATTTCACTTGTATTATACTTTTGTACTTTACCTTGTAATCGCACATAAAGCCTTTACCACTGGCATACGAGTAGTAGGTTTTTTGAATGCATTTAAAAATAGTTTCTCATTTTCGAAAGTTATAAATGTTCTCTCATAAAATCCTTTTGTTTCTTCGTAGCTATATTTCGAGGAAGACTCTTTTTTATTCGCGTCCTTTGCGTCGTGTTCTATTTTTATAGTCACATTACTGAAAATGTATTGGAATTTATGGAAATACCGTTTTCACATTTCACGAAAGCATTTATATGTTACCTATTCCCTACTCCTTGCACGCTTTTGTTTTCAGAGTTCACGTTTACACTCTTCTCGTCGTCTTCTTCAATATTAATTTTATTATCTTCTTTGTCAAAGTTCTCTTCGGAAAGTACCATAACCGGCATTGATAACGACTGATACCTAATCATGGGTCCAGTCTGTGCTTTTCTTACTGTCCTAGTATTTTTCTTTTCATTTTCTAATTTTTGATATTTTTCTGTATTTGTGAGAAATATATATAGATAAGAAAAGAACATTAGTATTTTCCTAGAGCTGAACTATCATTATTACTAGTTTACCTAACGATTTCATATTGACTTGTTCAGTCTGTAATGCTTCCTCTAATAATTCTTCTTGAGTTGGTTTCCAAGTATCGTGTCTAATGACTCTGGTTTTTCTCTTTTGATCTTCATTCCTTTCGCGCAAACGTTTCTGTGTAGCAGCCGACTTTGCAGCAGTGGAACGACGTATAGATTTCCTTTCTACAAAAATTTACAATTTCAATACTTCTTTGGCGATATTAAAATTTGATTGTCTATAAAAATATTGACCTATACTTTCTATGAATGTTTTATGCTGCTTCGGTTGTCTCACTTTCTTTTCTTTCTGTGGTAACTGTGACTGAACCTTAGGTTCTTTATATGCTTTCGTTACTAATCTACGCTTCTTTTTAGGTCCCTCCTGTTCTGTATCCGAGATAGGCTCATCGTTTTCATCTATACTAAAATCTGAATCCACTTCATCTTCTCCTTCATCTTCTTCCCTGTAACGATAAATATCTAGTACAAACAGTTGTATACTTTAAATGAAATTATTCAAAGAAAGTTTACCAACATGTAATCATTATCTTGTTCAGCTTCATCGAAACCACCGTAAGTAGTTTTATAAAAATCATCCTCCTCTTCCTCGTTCAGCAACTTTGCCATTTTATTCCCAGCATTGGAACGTCTTTCCCTGCTTAACGCCATTTTCGTAAACACGTATTTTCTTCTTCACTCAAATTATCCCTGATTATTTTTATTGTTACTTTTTGTTACTGATAAATAGGTTAACTCCGATTAAGTACCGAACGAATGTAAAGAAACCGATTTACAAGCATGCGAATTAAGTATCACTCTCGATAACAAATAACGAACTGTCGTCGTATCTTATAAAACGTTTGTTATTCAAGATATTAAAAATTTATTTTTCAAACGTCTTCAGTATCAACCATTCGTTGTATACTATCGAATGCAACTCGCAATCGATACTCGACAGTAGTAGTTGTCGACTATGATCATCGACTATTATCGATCTCAGTACAATTACGTATCTCGACAACAATCGATTAACATTTGAAAAAATTCCGCGCTTTTTATTCTTCAATATATAAAACTAGGCGATACTCGACATTATTCGTCTGTATTGACTCAACGATAAAAGTAACAAACAACTGCACACTCGAATAACATAATCACACATTATCAATATTATTATTTATTCCACATTCGTCCCAACAATGTCTCAATATCAAATATTACACTAAAAACTAAAAATATTAAATTCTTTAATTCCACCACAGGCAAAATCACCTGGAAACAATTCCACAGAGAAATGTTGTAAACATATCTCCCCGGATAACATAGGTGCTCCATTTATCTCTGCACAAAAAGAGCACCTAAGGCCATGGTATCTACAGGTCAAAGTTATCGAGGCAGGTAAGATACGTGGATATTTCGACGATACAACGGTTTGATTAATGGGGACCAATTATCCTATCAGGAGAGACTATTTATACAGCAAAGATTAAACTACTGTTGCTCTGTGTTTACATCTGCCGCTGGTATATATTCGGTAAAATCCGTCTCTCCGCATTAATCCTCTCGTGTCTGCGACGTAACCGTCACCGGAACCACGTACGCTCTTCATAACCTTAATCAAACGTATTCGGCCGCACCATAGGGAACAATATGCAGAAGACGATGTTCAACCAAACCCTCGAAGACATTCTGGAGAAGAACCTGCCTGAAAAGGAACTGTCCGAGGTGAAGCGTCTCTTATACGGACGCGAATTACAGTAAGTTCTATCCTTTATTTGCTGCGTCACAATTAAACGAGACCTGTACACTCGTCCCCGCGGAATTGCTTTGTGCGAGCATTGGCGTCAATGTCAACGTCTACGGAAATAATTCCACAAAATATTTTTGGACCTGGTGCGCGGCGCCAAGCAACAGAGATGCTAATTGGACAATTTAGACGAGAATCCCGCGATACGAGAATAAAAGTATAAGTATAGACGTCCTATAAACGCGCGCCGAGCGGCGAGCAACACTTTGTTCGTTTGCTCTAAATATTCATATTTTGGTGGGAAGCCAAGCGCACGTGTTTTAAATATATCCAGATGTCCGTGTCTCGCAGGATGCGCCCGAGGCTTCCCGTAATTGAAAATAACATGTTTCGCAGGCCCTTGGAGCTTCCGGAATGGACGGAGAAGACGGAATTGGATGTGCAGGGGTACGCGATGAACAGCGAGGTCACAGAGCAACTGCGGCCGCCGAGGATCGTCCGCGTCGGTGTGATCCAGAACTCGATCGTGGTGCCGACCACTGAACCCTTGCAGAAACAAAGGAACGCGCTCCATCAGAAGATCCAAAAATACGTAGACTACGCGGCCGCCTGTGGCGTGAACGTGCTGTGCCTCCAGGAGGCCTGGGGTGCGTGAACAACCGGGTTCCTCCGGCCGTTTATTCTAGAAGCAGAGACGACCCGGGTCACGCGACCTCTGCCTTCTGCCACACGCTCTGAATTATGCGTCGGGCCACGTGAACAGCTCTCTACGCGCAATCGTATATTTCACAGATAAATCACACGCGTTCCAGCCTTTATCGGCTGACACACGCCGGTCGTGGATCAGTCTTAGACTAATAAAAGACGATCAGATAAGGCTGGCCTGTGCGTTCACGTCCTCCGATAGCGGCGACTAATAATGCATAGACATTCTTATCCGATACATGATTCTCTTGAACGCCTAGAAGTAGAAGTCCTTTGAAATTGAATCGTTAACTCCAGCGTCCACTGGTTCAATGAGTTCTATGTTGAGATTGAAATACCTAAATTACAGCTATGCCGTTCGCGTTCTGCACGAGAGAGAAATATCCTTGGTGCGAGTTCGCCGAGGAAGTGGAGAACGGGCCGACGACCGTGCTCATGTCTGAGATGGCACAGCGTCATGGGATGGTGATCATCTCCCCGATTTTGGAGAGGGACGTCGAGAACGGAGATACCTTGTGGAACACGTCGGTGGTGATCGGCCCGGACGGGCAGGTGATCGGGAAGCACAGGAAAAACCATATCCCGCGTGTGGGCGACTTCAACGAGTCCACTTATTACATGGAGGGCAACACGGGTCATCCTGTGTTCGACACTTGCTTTGGACGCATCGCTATCGCTGTTTGCTATGGACGCCATCATCCACAGAACTGGATGATGTACGGCCTCCATGGTGCCGAGGTACGTTTAGTCATTCATGCGAACAAAGATTGAGAATGATTGAATTGTTTTGTATTGAATTTTTGTGCAGATCGTTTTCAATCCATCTGCGACCACCAGTCATACATCTGAGCCATTGTGGCCCATCGAAGCGAGATGCGCCGCCATTGCTAACAGTTACTACACTTGCGCTATCAACCGAGTGGGAACAGAGATATTCCCTAATGAGTTCACATCCGGAGACGGTGCACCGGCGCACCATGACTTTGGACACTTCTATGGATCCAGCTACATCACTGCCCCCGATGGTAGCAGAACTCCTGGCCTGAGCCGTTCCAAAGACGGTCTTCTCGTCTGTGAACTGGATCTGAACATGTGTCGTCAGATGAAAGATATGTGGTGTCTACGTGTTAGTATTCTGCTCCTGTTATCGGTCATCTCTGTCGCCGTTTCTTCACGCGGACCTTTTTTATTTTAGATGACCCAGCGATTGGATATGTACGCCAAAGAACTTTCCGAGTACGTGGAGAAGAATCTGAAACTCAGCGAGAAAACTAAGTAATGCGCCTTCAGTCACCGAGATTACCCGCGCCACGAGGAACGTGCATGGGTAATTCGCCGAGGGCTACTGGGATGATCCTCACGCTTCTGATTTTATAAAACGGTGTAAACAAAATATGTGAAAAAAAAGAAAATATACGTGCATATTCTTTTATAACGAAACGCACCGGAATACCTGACAATTTACATGCGTCCCTTTCAGCCTCGCAACGTTTAGAAGTGTAACATACGGAGGTATTAGGAACGGACTTCGTATAAACAATGATTTATTCAGTCATCTTAAAAACATTATAAATAGAATTTTGAAAAAGTGCGACTTAAGCGTAAGTCTATAAGTTACATCATCGTGTTAAAACTCTTTTTACATACTTACAAATGTTGTACTAACTTAGTTACAGCTAACGTACTATGAAAACTTTAGAAATTAACTAGTTGATCCAGCATTCAACGTTGTATTGCGTGTCTGCTTACGGTAATCAAGCGCCTCCTGGTAAGCCTTCTTCACAGCTTTCCTGTCGGCGGGCTTCCGAGATTCGATTAGTTTCGCCTCGTCCAATTCTTGAGATACACCGAGTTTTTCCAACTTCTCGCCTGGCAGCCATTGCCTGCGACAATATTTCTCGAGTAGTTGCCTTTTTTTGGAACGAAGGCAATCGCACCGGTGAGAGAGGAAAGTGTTAATTACCAGGTTCGTTTAGTGTCGAAGAAGAGAACGAGAAATACTGGTTCCTTGTAATTGACTGCGAGTGCCAATACGTCATCAGGGGGAGCAGGTATCGGTACACCCTTGTGCACAGTGCCTCTGGGCGTGTTGGGGTCGATGATTAAGGCTGGATACCACGGATAACCGCGGCACTTGGCCCACACTAATTGCAGAGCTTCTAGACCGTTACTAGTTGTACTCTGCTTGGTCTCAACCTCCTTCTTCGCTTCGTTCACTTCCTGCTTCTGTTTCTCCTCGTCGAGATCAGGAGTGGCAGATCTGCTCGTCGAGCAACTGCTACAGCTTGACGACTGACTTTCACCCTCCCCCACGTCACTGTCCATTGTTCCGCTTCTGTAATTTTGAATTAGTTTCATTCACCACTATCAAACAGTGTTTTAAGGTAGACACCTACCTGTAAACTTTGAAACTATCGCTCTGCTTCTTCCTGTCGTCCTCCATGGCGAACATTTGGTTACTCCTACTCGCGCGTGCTCTGGCCTTGCGAGTAAACAGAACCGCCGTCCTCCTGTTCACACCTCCACCTCCCACTTCTTTCTCGCCAAGCTGCAATTCCGCCTCCCCGCGGTTTCTGTTGGTGCGATCCCTCTTCCTGGATTTAGACCCTGTCTGCTCGGACTCGCTGACTGGATCCAATTCAGGATAGTCCTTGCGAGCTTGCTCTATCAAGGCACCGCCTTGTTCTTTCATTTTAATGCCAGCGCGATAGAACATGGTGTCCTTACGATTATACGCCAGGCAATTGTTGACCATCAAGTTGAAGTCCACTTCGAAAGCGCCAATCGTATCGTACTCTTGTCTTTCTATTTTAGCCTAGAGCAATGAAAAGAGAAACGATGAATTATAGTTTGCATTAACTTGAGACGTGTTTCTTCTATTCGATGCGGGTGACTACCTGCATGGTAGAAAGATCCATAGGATGCGATACGATCTCCAGATAGTCTGGAACTTCCTTTGTGTTTACTGGCTGGCCAAATACATCGTTCACGTCTTTCGCTTTGATCGCTTCGAGCAAAGTGCGCAGAATACTTTCTAACGGGCGTAATTCGAACCAAAGACACTTCTCCTTCCTATAAAGTTAGTTTTTCTTTTCAAGTTCTGAACACTTGTTTAATCGTCTATACGAATTCAATTGTATTTTGCTAAGAAACGTCTTACACTTTGAATAATTCTTTTTTCAATTTCTCACGTTTGCGAACCAGTTCGCAAAGTAGTCGAGCACGTTCCAAATCCTGGCGTAAACATTGCCAGTACTTGAGTTGGCGATACAACTCCCCGCGTAATTCACTATCGGGCGGTGGCGAGGAATGGTCCCCAAGTGGCGGTGGTCTAGATTGTGGATGTGAACTCTGGAGCCTTCTAAGAAGTGGAACACCATTTCTGTACTGACGTTTTAGAGTCCAGTATGCTATAAGACGCTGAATCAGTTGATTCTTTTTAGGCAATCCTTCAGCTAAACTGATAGATATTACAAATATTTGTAATATACACATGTATGGGTATTGAAAATGAATAAGGCAACATTATAATTATTACCTAGCAATTTCCTTAATCCGTTCAGGCGGTATGGTTGGAATAGATATAACAGGTGCAGAGGAGCTTTTCTTATTTGCAATTGCTCTCCTTCTGGCATCAGCAGGATTGGTAGAAGGCTGATAATCGGGGGGTGTATGTGCCTCGCAATAAGCTGTTTTCTGTACTAGCATTGGTTCTCCGTTTGCAGGTTGCACCGTCCTCATACGCATGCAAAGACCAGCTTGCTGTGCACAAGTCACATGAAATGCAGCATAACAATTGCTTTTATGGCACTGAATACAAGCACCCGATCCTCTACGTTTACACACACAGCACGTGAGTCTCCACCTTGCAGCAGGTATACTTTCTATGCTGTCTATAGGCTCCAGAAATACGGTATTTGCAAATCTTACTTCAGGTATCCACAAAGCACACACAACATGGGCCCATGTAGCTGGACGATCGGTTTGTTTAAAAGCACCACCTCTGTTTGGGCACAAAACACAATCAACAGCCCTAGAAGGGCTTTGCAAGCACCTTCTGCACAACCATTGCCCTTCAGGAATGTATGGTACGCCATAACAATCTTGATGAACAGCTAAATTACACATATCGCAAAATAATATAGCATTGCTGTTCTGACATTCTCCATCCATACAGATACAACAAACAGCATCTTCATCTGCTGCCACTCCTCCACCTCCATTGGTTTGTTGCTGAAAATAAGATTCTTTCTCCAGTCTATCCATTAATAACTCGAATGTATCAGGTTCCAAAGGTGGAGTAAGCCCTGAAGCCGACCGTCTCTCATTTACTATAGACAACCACGCAGTGTCTTCTTCATCTAAATCATACTCAACTTCACCTGAAACAGTCTTAATCAATATCGGAATTACCATTTCAATTGGAAAGCAAAGATTCTGCATACCATCAAGTTCCTCTCCACTACGCTCCATGAACCTAATATACGAATTGGGAAGTGGTTCAGCTTCTCCTACTTGTTGTTCATATCCGTCTAATTCTTTCACCATTGCAACAGGTAAACTGCTAAGGACATTCTTCTCGTCTTTGTCCTTTTCCGGTGGGCCAGTGTGACATTTTTGTATTATATTTTTATCATCAAATCCATTCTCTTCTAAAGAAATGATTGGTACAGAATCCGTGATCCCAATTTTGAATGTCTTGTTTGTGTCTTCTCCAATTGGATTCACCTAAACAGCAAATAGCATAATTAAAGCGCGGAAATGTTATATTCCACTGGCACAGACGGTACATTGAGCAAAAGTTATCGTGGAAATGAAATTATAAACAAGTATGGCAGAATTTCGTACCAAAACAAATTTCGATGTCTCCTGTATGTTTAACGGTTCGGCGTTCGAGGGGCTGACACTATCACTGTTAATACCGCCCACTCTATTTCTCCCCTTTTTTTTATTCGACTGCGGGGTGTTCATCTTTTTCGATTCGTTTATTGTTTTCATAAACAAGCGATGTGGTTATATCACTCTCACTTTATTTTCAAATCTTGCTTACATATGTTCCGCATTGTCAAAACGTGTCGTCGAATTTCCGATCGGGCTGAACATTAATATTGAGCGGCTAATTAGCCCGGTCATTTTTCTGGATGCCTTGGTCGGGAAAGTTTACATCTGTTTGCGTCGAACGCGAAAAAGAAACGCTAAGAAACGTTTGAACAAATTAACTAACCAATTTGAGCGGCAAACGTAACGTGCATTGACGTATCAATACAATGATAGCACCTTGCACGCCTACCGATGATCATCATTTTGATTGGCAAACACGAGTATCAAAATTAATCTAACTCGTTACTTAACATACATCAATATACCAATTATATTTATTAAAAAACAATATACACATGCACAAATACGCAAGTTTCAGAAAATTACAAAATTAATTATTTCCTCTATCCTGATTGGTCGACGTCGCATTAACAGAAACCCACCCTTAGGCAACGTAACCTCCAAATCACGACGAAACGTGTCAATTTTCGGCTCCAATGAAATATTTTCAAATGCAGATCGAAGCACCGATAACCCGGCTCCGTATAATTCTTCGCAACAATTCTCTAATCGATTAAAAAATTCTGATCAAAAACATAATATTCATGAGAAATATGATTCTCATGTAAAAGAAATATTCGTTCAAACGAACGACACGATTCCCCGACGAACAGCATGCGATCCGAAAGAGAAATTCTGGAAAAAGGGACAGTTGCGAATTGTTGCGGCATGTTGCATCATTAGACGATCGTTTTCAAAAATCGTTCCTCGGGCGGTTCGGGCGAAAGGTGGCGCCGCCTGGCGGCAAGCAGCCCCGACGACACGAGCCCAACACGATCCCCGCAGAAGCTTGTCGACCCTGGTTCCGAGTGCTTTGTGTATGGAGTGGGGGAGAGTAAGAGATCTAACTTTACACCAGTCATCGGCAGTATTTGTTCCTGTGCCTGCAGCTTTGGTTGTCTATCTCGTAATCGAAAGTTTCTCGTGCGAGGGACAGTTTACCAGATAACCGATATCTGTGTTTTGTGAGAGTGCGGGTCGCACAGCAGCAACCGGGATCGACTGGATTTGCGAACGAGGGGCTCAATGTTTCGCTAAGAATTATGTCGGATATTGGTGCAGGATTACGATCGGTCACACGTCAAGTCAGCTGACATATTGCGCCCTGCTACACCGCAACAGCTCTTGGTAAGTGTCGCAATCGTTTCGCCCGTTCCTCGATCACGACTATTTTTATCTAATATCCGTGAAATTCGTGCACGGTGAAACATACACACACGCGCGTACACACGTACACACACACGCACGCACACGCACACACACACACACACACACGCGCGTATCGTTCACCGACGAGTTTTCGCGTAATGCCTACGGTTCTAGCCGCCTCTTTGTCCGATTCCCTCTCGCCAACGATATATTCCCTTCTCTTATCCCGTCCCCTTTCCATTGATAACAAAGATGTCCGCGCGAGACGTGTGCACGAGCATTGCGCGGGGACAAAGGGAACAACGACGCAATTTCTGATCAAGTGCGTATAGTCTCAAGGATGGAAGCCATGTCTCTCTGGTGTCCGTCCTGTTTCTTCGTGCTCTCCTCGTCGACCAGCGTGCGTGCGTGCGTGCGTGCGTGCGCCGTACGTGCGTGTGTGCCGTGTCCGCACGACGGTAGCGCCGATACGATTCAAGCGCAAATGCACACTTATGCATTTATACGCCCCTCCGCCCCGCCGAGGTTTTCGTACCCCCTTCCGTGTGCCCACATCCGCACTGCTTTTAAACCCCCTCCCTTCAGCCCTTCGTGTGTACCCTAATAACGTCTAGCTTTTATTGCACCCGAATCTACCCACCAGAAACTCCGATATAATTAACCTTTTACATATTACCATTCACTAAATACCCACCCTTAATCACCTTTACTCTTCAATCTCGAATTCCCCGAACCCACGTTGAACACCTCAAGGCGTCCCAGAATGATCGTTACGCGCGGACCTTTCGATTGGCGCTTTAAATCTACCTACTCGATTTAAAGAGGCATCCATGAGAATGGTACTTTAAACCACTTTCACAACATAACGGTTCAACTCCGTACGTAACCGCGTGCAGTCTCTCTCGCAGGGGACCGTCAATGGGGATCTCCGTTTCAAATAGTCTCGAACTTTGATCGACACGCGACTTCATCGCTTTAGTTCCGTCGTCGTCGACGCTTAGACTCGCTCGCCGACGCAGTTCCTCTCGGCAGATGGAGAGACGGTCGTAACTCACCAGCTCTAAGTCTTACGCGAGAGAAGCTTTATAGTTGGTCTTGCGGACAGTAAAACGGAGCGTGCACATGATAGGCGGCTACCGTGGAATAAACTCGACGATCTCGTCGGTTCTATTCAATCGGATCTCGAACTATGGCCGCTGACACTTTGTTTGTTAACGATGCGAGGTTAACGCGTGTAACCCTTCGTCGTCAGAGAGTGTGTGCGTTTTATTTTATTCTATTCTGTGTATATGACACCGATTGAACGTCTTCTCTCGCGTGCGTGCGCGCGCGCGCGTACGTGCTGCGTTTAAAGCTCTCCCGCGCGGAGCGGTCGCTCGCGATAGAAACGATTAGCAGGTTGACGCTTGTACCCGTGTAGATTAGAGCCGCGAGCCACACCTCGCTTTCTTCTGTCGTCAGCGATGCCGTAAAATGGCTGCGTACACAATTACCGGCGGAGAATAAACTTCGATATCGCGCGATGATACTTTCGGGGATCTTGCTGTGACCGTCGGTAGCGTGTGCTCTTTCGTACGCACGCGCATGCGCGGATGACGTACCCCGCTCCGCTGTTGACGTATTAGAAGCAGTTTTTTCCGTGGGAATTTTTGTTTAACCCTAATCGGACCGCGATGTGACTTTGAGTGACATTTCAACTTTTCACTTGAATTTTTTTCATTGTTCCATATCGGGCATAAACGAAAACGTTTTAATCGTTCATTTTATTATTATAAGCGACTGAGTCACGTCGCGGTACGATTCGTTAGAAAAACACGTGGTGTGATTGGGGTTAAATGTCAGTGGGAAATGGAGTGTCTGTTCTGAGGATTTTCAAGAGACTTTTGGGATTTCGGTTGAGTTTGGAATTTCACTTTTGAAATCGTTGCTGTCCGTGTGAAGGTGTCTGAGGTTTGAAACGGTTTTTTTTATGAATCTTCCTTGACTCTGAATTGAATTTCAGAATTGCTTGTTTGAAATGTGATTGGAAATCGGGAATTCGCGGTTCGCAAGTGCGTCATGCTCTCCGAAGATATCCGTACCACGTGTCCGCGCGCCGTACAATGTCTAAAAATGACCGTAAGCGACGTATAATAGGTTTCCACGATTGTCGCCGCTATCTCCCGCGATTCGTATCTATCAGGCTGTTTCACAATTTCGTCCGTTAGACTTGGCGAAGGTTGCACGCGCAATCGCGGGACACGGCGGTTGTGAAATTCGAGCACGAGGTAAACAAACAAATCGCGAGCGAGTTTCGGCGTGGCCCTCGGTACAATTGTTTTCGCCGGATCGTTTCGCGCCGCTCGGTGATCGTTTCTCCGTTGTTCCCCTTGAATTTCTCTCGACACGACCGCCCAAAAAGAACTGTAACTACAACCTGTTTCGTTATCTTCAATCGGACTCGTGCAATTAATTCGAATAAAACTATATTCCGTAAAAACAACCGTGTTCGATGAATTGCAAATAACCTCAAGACTAAACGACAAAGAAAAATATAAACAGAATAAAATGAATTTTTAACGAATCAGAATGAATTAGAGTCACGAATTAGACGGATTAAGATGAATTTTCAACGATCTCGAGTCGATCTACGCTTCGACTCCGGTCGATCCGGAAATCACTCGGATCGTTTCCGGTTCTGAAGGTTAGAAACGCCACGTACGTTGTTACCGGTTCCCATTCGATTATTCAAAATTATACATGCTTGCATCAGGTGATCGTTTGTTTGTTTGCGAGCGTAAATTAGAATTTTTGTTGTCCACGATCTAGCTCGGTCGGGGAAATAAGGTCGACTGCCTTCTGGCCCCAAACAAAAGCGATAAATAAGCGGGAAGCGAGAACGAGTCATTCTTATCCACTTGGAATGAGTCAAATGTAAACACAATCGCGGTTAGAATCGAGTCGAGGGACCGATGATGGTGTTCTTCTCGGTACGTCTCGGCGGTGTATGTCGAGAGAGAGCATGTCGTCCGTCCGTCCGTCTGTCGCGCGATGTTGATTGAACTAGTTCTAGTTACTTTCTGCTAGAGAATTTATGTAGACCATTTGCGTTCACTTAACCTTTTACTTTTCACCGAACAATGTAAGTAAGCAAGTATTTGCGTGTATGTTCACCGCCATGTTGGGCATCGTGTGTCACCGATGAGTGTCCCGACAGTTCCGTTACTAAGAAAATAAACCCTTGACTCGTTATTAGGGCTGACTGTAATTAACGATCGATGATAGAACACTTATACTCGAAACGAAAGAAATCTCGAAATTTATCGATATCTTGATTAATTGTTTTGCTTCGAAACAAACACGTAGGAGAATTTGAAATTTTCGTTCGAATGATTCTGTACCACATGACTGGAAACCGCGGGTCGAGTAGATAACGATTTCGAGTAGGTTCGAAAACGTTCGTTACATTTTTATCATCTAGCTTACGGAAATGAGTTGTTTTGGGTCATTCGTCACGCGCGAGTATTTTTTCTTTCTTTTTTCCTTTCTTTTTTTGTGAATTCGTTAAACAATTGATAACCCGCGTGTTCTCGCGAGATCCTTCGATATCTCGAGCACATCGACCACACTGCTCAATGATGTGTTCAGTCTACTTGGAAAGCTCGAATTCGTTTCGAACTTGTCCTTGCCGGTCGGTTAATTATATATGGAAAATAGCGTTACGCAATTAAGAAGTTAATCTATTTATATTATATATATATCGGCGACGAGCAATTTTTTTCTCGTGTCACGTGACCGCGTTGTTAATTTTGATACATGGTCGACTATCTAGACGTTACATGTTTATTGCACGATTGCAATTCAACGGCCGACTAATATTAGAGCTCAAGATCGTTCATAATTGTACGTCAATGGCGAGTTAATTTTCTTTGGTACCTATAAACATCGTCGTATCACGACAGAAAAGGATATGTGATTATTCTCCACGCTTCCGGTTTGATGAACACCGTCTTCGCTTGTTACCGACTGAACGGAATTTATAATCAATTTTCAGATTTATCCGTTTCCCATGTAAACCACTCAACCGTACTGTATAAAATGAAATACATTTTAAATTAAATTAAATTTAATATAATTAAATTTCGCGTTGTCGAGTATCAAATGATTATTCGTTTTTCCAACGTTGCGAAATATTGCCACGTGCTCCGTCGGTGTGACGTTACCACGTGTCGGTGAATTTATCGATTTCAATGATCGATCGGGATATAAAACCGCAAGAGGATTATTTCTCCGATAACGTGCACAGGAAATTAAACGTGAATCATGAAAAGGATTCGAAAGGATGACTAAAGGGAGCTCTCTTTTATCTGTCACATTTTTTCCCGCGATTTTCCCCCCACTCCTCCGCTCGGGTTCAATTCGGTTCTCAATTACCGACGCGGGACTTCGCTCGGTCTTCGAAGTAACGGATTTAAATCCCGTTCGTTCCATTCTTCGGCCCTTTCGTTATGGGATTTTACCGAATCGCGGACACGTTACGCGGAACATAGTAAATTATTTATTAATTGCAAGCGACCTTCGCGCTAATGACAGTCCGCCTCGTGTTTCGTTGAAAGCTCGGCAAGCAATGTTTGACAGTCGTTAACGAAAACGCTAATTTCCATGAGAGACAATTTAGAGGAATACAAGATCGAATGTATAGTACTATATAAATATTCGTTGTACAATTAAGATTGATTTCATCGTGTCTTCCGTGAAAGAGGGTCGTTGATAGTGAAAGTGAAAATGTGATTACGTGCATAGGATGGTTAGGAGATGCTGTTCGCTCGGGTGTGTTTTCAAAGGAAAATCTGCTTTCCCCATTCTTGGGAGAAAAGTCGATTTTCTTAATCCTTTTATCTCGTTTCTTCGACGTACGTATTTGAAAGAGCATTAGTTTTTATTTTATTGCGTTACGTAGCTGGCACTTGCCGCGACATCTGGTAGTTCACTTGGGAAGTGCAGCGTAACGCGTACCGCCATGATACGTTAGAGTATTATTAGACAGTTCCATAGAAATGTGCGTTAAATTGTTTGTCATCGGGGAATCTTCTTAACGTATTACCTTGTACGAGATTAATTGTATATATTCCCGAGCAATTCGGCAATTGACAATGACAGTAACAAAGCAACGAAACATTCGCATCGGAGAGACCGTTTGAAAATGATTCAAGATATTCCCACTAATAACGAACCAATTAAAAAGTGGCGTATCATTCCGTGAACGATCCAGAAGAAGCGAAACAACAAGTTAAATGGAAATCGCCGAGCACTCCGCGCCCTAACCTCCATCGTCGCGGGTAGCCGCGGTGTGTCGCGGTTGGTTGTATACCCGCCCAAAGGCTGCAACGTTTATACGGATCGCCATCATGAAAACATTCGGCCGTCGCCGTCGTTATCGTTGTTTCTCCTCCGTCCTTGTAGGTTCCTCGGATTGAAGTAATATCGAGCGCTCGAGCGCGAAGTTGCACACAAAGAGCGAGAAAGAGACTGCGAGAGCGAACACGGCCGCGCGTGAGAGAGAGAAACAAAGAAAGGGAGAGCTATTTGGTAACGTTTCGTTTTAGCTTGCTGCGAAGAGGCATCGGGAGACAAAGCGAGCGAACGCGCGCATTTAGTGGCCTGCGAATTGCGCCGAGATTCACAAACAAGCTTCGAAGGAGAGACTCTCTCGAGCGACGGCTTTTGGCTATTAATGGCACGTCGTCTAACGTTGCGATAAGGATACGGGGAATTCACTTAAATGCCTCGAACCAATCCTTACTCCATGTTGTGCATTGGTTGCGACACGACTGCGTGTTGGAAAGTGAGTAGTATCACGTTTCCCGATCACGCCTCTTGCGATAGGACTTTATTGCGTTGGAAACGGAAAAATTGTATCGGTTGTGACGGCAATGTCCCGTTCGAAACCCTCCTGGCTCTGCGCACAGATCTCTACGGTCCCCCGTGTCCGCCTCCTTCCTATATATATATTTTTTTTTCTTTCTCTTCACAACTCCCCCGTCTACTGTTTTTCTCTCTCTTCGTTCCCGTTTCCCAAGTTTTCTTTGCCCTTGGAGGAATTACTCTCGCGACCAGCATGAGGGGAACGGCCCTTGCTTTGTGATATCATTCCACCACTGACAATTTCTAATTCCGTGCGATGACTCTTGTGCGTGTGTGAGTGCGTGTATTGGCTGTGAGTGCGTGTATGCGTGTGTGTGTGTGTGTGGCTGCTCTGTGTGTTTTTGTGGGTATGCGTGTGTACGCGTTGTACTCAGTAAATGAATTGCTTTTTTCGTGTTTTAAATGTCTAGTGACAACTCATAGTTGGAGGGAAATGAAAAATGTGAGCAACTGCACCCTCTGAAAATATATTTGTGAGGTTCCTTCGTTGGTGAAGGAGTCTACGACGACAACAAAAGCTTTGTATTGTGGTTCGATGTGTTCTTTATTCCCATTTGGGTGTATAGGATTACTTTATGATTGTTCCATTCGTTGGAGCAGTTAGCTTGTGATTCTGATGGGTCAGCTTAGATTTCAAATTCGAGCGTTACTTTGGGGGTATAGCTTGAGATTCTTCTTGTCAGAAAGTAATCCGAGGTTTACTTACATTCTCAGGAGATAAAGCATATAATGAGAAAGATTGTAATCATGATCATTTAGTGTTATGCACATTAACAACTGATGAAAGTTGCATGCCTATGATAAGGTTGTTATATTTTAGTCCTTAAATGTACTGTAAACGATGCTGTTGAAATCTAATAGATACCAACCAAAAATTCATTGCTCTACACGCATTAAATCACAGTATTGTCTGTATATAATGTACGTGTAAGAGAAGAAGAATGGATCAAGTTATAGAATCGATACTAAAGTCTTTTATAGTGATTGTTTTCATTATTTAAATACCACAGCTATTAATATTCTTTCTTCTATTAATTCACATAACTTATAATACTGCTGTTATCCGTGTTGCTTAAATATATTTTATACATAGTATGTACAGGATATATATTACAGATTATATATACATTGAATATACTTGCAAATGAATTTGTTTTCTTTTTGTTTTATGTGAGATATTAAAGTATAAATTGATTTTAATAGGTGAATATATGGTGACACGCGGTCGTGAAGGAGCAACCAGAGAGCGAGCTGTGGCAAGAGACATTTACTTATCCCTTATTTAGCTGACTGCAACTACTCGGTACCTGTCGAGTGATTGCAAGTAATACAGAAACAAGGACTTGTTTAATCATAAAAGTTCTATTGGGATAAACAACAGAAATGGAACGGGAATCTAATCCAATGCAAGCTCTGTGCCGTAGCGGCTGTGGATTTTACGGCTCGCCAGCCACGGATGGCCTTTGTTCTCTCTGTTATAAAGAAAATCTAAAAAAGAAGCAGCAACCTCCTGTGTCAGCTGCCACTGTACAGACTTCACAGACCGTTTCTGGTAACGCTGGCACGTTGCAAGGCGGTTTTGGTAGTCCTGCAGCTACAGGAACTACAGCCCAACCTACCATTCCTACTATACCTCAACCAACGACAGATCTACCCAACCCCAAAGAAGTAAGTTTTCTGTCTTTACTAATTCTTGATCGGTTACTTAAAAATTTAAGTCATAAAAAGTATGCAAGTGTTATAGGCACTCGAATGAATGTTTGTACGTGTCTTGCTGACTGTTATTTTTTAAGTTTTGCAAGGTATATGTAGTGTAAGCAGAAATCTGGTAACAAAAAAGGTAAAAAAAGAATTTTTGTATTAGTAAACTAAATTATAAATTCAATATAATTCAACTAATGTTTTTAATTTTCCAATCACACCTTTTGAAATGTTTGAAGTGAATCCAAAATTCAGTTGTCGAAAAATTATTGCTTATAAACTGATTTTTAAATAGATCTCTCATAGACGTCATAATAGTACAATCCTCTAGACATAAGAGTAGATATACGTTGTGCAGGTGAAAGTCTGATTACTAATGGTATATTCTGTGATTCTCGATTAGATAAATAGAGAAGATCAGGAAAGCGAAGTAGGCGTAAGCAGTGGAGCAGTAGCAGAAGGATCAGTGAGTAGCGGGGACGCGGATGACTGCTTCGACGGCAAAGAGACTGACAAAGAATCTAAGAAGAAGAAAAACCGTTGCGCAGTGTGTCGCAAAAAAGTTGGTTTAACCGGTAGGTGGGCCATGTTCGTTAACACGTTGCTGCTTTAATTGTCAAGGAGTTTGCGTGCAATGTTCCAATTGTTTTCCAGGATTCGAGTGCCGTTGTGGAGGACTGTTCTGCTCTGTGCATCGATACAGTGACAAGCACGATTGCAAGTTTAATTACAGAGAAATGGGCGCTCAAGAAATTCGGCGCAACAATCCAGTTGTTGTTGGTGAAAAAGTGCAAAAAATTTGAACTATTTAGTGCGTAGTCGTTGGGAAAATGGTTATATAACTATATAAACAAACAGAATATAAAACGGAGAAAACGAGATAAATTATCTGGCAGCTGATTGCACGTCGAGGGGCGAAACGAATGAATGCGAGTTTTCGAACGAAAGGAGAAGT